CTGCTATGCTGTCTACTATACTGCTTGCTATGCTACCTGCTATGCTACCTGCTATACTGCCTGCTATGCTGCCTGCTATACTAATCGCTATGCTACCCGCTATGCTGCCTGCTATATTGCCTGCTATGCTGTCTACTATACTGCTTGCTATGCTACCTGCTATGCTACCTGCTATACTGCCTGCTATGCTGCCTGATATACTAATCGCTATGCTACCCGCTATGCTGCCTGCTATATTGCCTGCTATGCTGTCTACTATACTGCTTGCTATGCTACCTGCTATGCTACCTGCTATACTGCCTGCTATGCTGCCTGCTATACTACCCGCTATGCTACCCGCTATACTGCCTGCTATGCTGTCTGAAATACAACTTGCTATGCTACCTGCTATGCTACCTGCTATACTGCCTGCTATGCTGCCTGCTAGACTGTTTGCTACGCTACCTGCTTTACTACCTGAAATTAGTACAATTCTCTTTTTCCTTTTTTTATAATGAAACATAAACTCAGAGCCCAAGGGTGTGCAGGACTCCCTGACAGCCTCGACAGGGACAGACCACAGACAGACCGCAGCCATTTCCTTCATTCATTTGGCAGATTTTTTTTCCCAAAATCATATACAGTAGAGGAAGCTGGGTGGGTCTGATGGTGAAATAACTCTGACAACCAGGGACTGGAACCAGTGACTCTGTGATCACTGACACAGCATAATAACCCACCATCGGTCCTATATGTAGATCGTCATGTGACACACATATTATGAGCAATTATGACTCATCGGTTTTGACTGTGCTTGTGTTTGGGTTGCAGAAGGAAACTCGAGTACCCCAAAAATCCAGTACATTTAGTTGCTAAACACACTCACACGCCAGCATCAGTCTGTTTCATTATTGCCGTTAATCCCCACAAGGAATCCCACATAAAATCCTAATTCAGTCTCTTGTCCCTCAGGTCAACCAAGGGATTGTAGATGCACACAGTGAAATGAAAGCATAAGAAGGGAGGACAAATGGGCTTTTAATGGGAAATCAGAAGGTGTTTTATCAGCTAATGGGCTTTAACTGGAACACACCGCCCCATGGTAATGACTGTGAATTTAGTCCTGCCACCTCCAATTGTCATCCTTTATTTAAAGCATCACTAATCATTTTCATTGTCTGCTAAAGTCTAACAAGGAAGTTAGGAAATTGCTGGGAGGTGCTTTGAAGTAGAAGAGCACGGCTATTCGCCTTATTAACTGATGAGCCTGCATCTTTTACAGTTTAATAATACTGCATCATGAAAGGCCTCATTCACAATTGAAATTTTATATTTAGCTCCACTGTCACACTGTGAAACATCCAACGCTGTGGCCTGTAAATTATCCTTGAAAATCAATATGTAATTGTTATACGTTGTATCTTAAACTAATTTGCTATAAAGCTTTAAGCTCTTAAAACCTACAATTACTGTTGTTTATAATTACCATATTGGCATGCAGTCCTAGGCATATTAGCAAATAGAAATTAAGGCTGAACAAGAGCTGTAATTATAAGCTCGTTTTTTTTTTCATGTGGTTACTGAATTTTTGTAAGAAGGTTTCTCAGGAAAAGCCTATAAATTCATATGAGTGAAAATATATTTAATTTTAACATGCAAAAGAAATTCATTATGGAAACTTGTGAATTTCAATGCAGAGCCACATTTTATTTCCATCTACTAGTAACAACTAATAGGGGAAGTGAATTTTGTATGTGCAGACAACTGGGTACCCAAATGTGCAGAGAGAGAAACATGATGATTTCTCCAAACATACAGGTGCCATCTAATGCTATTTCAGTTTTTCAAATCATTTCCTCACCACTGGATGAGTCTAAAAAAAACTATAAAAACCCACCACCTTCTATTGCGTGATGTTTCTTTATCACTAAGGAAATGTTAAAATTAGCTTATTGAACACACAAGCTTTCAAAAACCTTAAAAATGAACCGGATGCAGTGCATTAGTGGCAGCAAAGGTGAATATGAAGTAGTGAAACTCAGGTTAGTATGTAATCTTTCATTTCTTGTTGATGACACTTGCGAAAGAAAAGAGAATAAACAAACACATTAAACAAAACTATCATTAGACACTTTCTCCATAGCAAGAAGATATTTTCGAGGTATTTTTTTCTCAGTTATGCCAGATTTGGGTTTGATGTAAATACAGTCATGCTGGAAAGCAGCCTAATCCCCACTGAGGAATAAGTTGGCAGATCCATGGTATTGACCTGTTTTTCCTTAAAAGGCATTGGGGACATTTTTTATATGTATGGCATCATAAACTCCATCAAACACCAGGAAATTGTCACCCAGAAGCAGGCTGACTCTGACAGGAGGCCAAAACTGGGTCATGGTATACCTCTCAATCGTCTGTCACAAGTAGCAGAAGTATGAAATATGTGTAACTACACTGTGAAAAAAACTGGGTGCCATCTTTCAGCCAGTTGTTCGACTGATTCAAGAATATGATGCGGGCAGACACTAAAACAAAAGCTGCGATTACTCTGCTGCGGGTCTGACTGAAGCTAAGGTGTGATATTAAAGATGACCGTATGCTCAGCAAATACATAGTATTATCATAAACAGTAACATGCATAGACTCAGTAATGTAGCATCTGAAACATTTCTTTTAACGTTTACAACACTGTAGTAAAGCCAAATCCAGCAGCCTAAGGACTATTTGATTAAGTGCATTTTCATGTGACATATCAGTGTTCATAGTCCTTAAGCCAGCTAGGCTTATAGTCATGATACCTCAGAGTAAGCTATGAAGTTGTCTTCATAAGAATATTGTGCAGGATTCTCTTGAGCAGGTGTTGATGAATCAACTTGAGAGGCAGCAAGTTCAGGAAAGTATGAGAGATGGACTGTATTCCATTTCCTGCGATGGTCTAGCTAGTAAGTACTTTGGCACAATTTCTTGAGAACCCTAGTTGGTCCTGTGAACCATGAAGATTTTCTTCACATGCAATAAATTCTTGACCCATACCAAATCAACTTTATACACAGGATTACTTGGTCTCTTCTTGGCATCAGGCTAAACTTTTATTTTAGGTTGTTTTGCAGCAATTGTTTTATGTACCCATCTGTGGGAAAAGAGGCACACAAAGGCATGATGTTTAAGTTAAGTGTTAATTTGGCATGTTATACGAACTGCAATGGTGCTTTCAGCATCTACAGTATATTCACCTCACGCCAGCAATACACGTGAGTCTCTCTTTGGGGCAGACAGTGAGTCTCTCTTTGGGGCAGACAGTGAGTCTCTCTTTGGGGCAGACAGTGAGTCTCTCTTTGGGGCAGGCAGTGAG